GGGGAGCTGGAAGATGAGAACTGGCGACTTTGTAGTGCAACTTTAGTACGCGGAGCAAGCCGTGGAGCTGGAAGCTGAGAACTGGCGACTTTGTAGTACAACTTTAGTACGCGGCTGAGTCATCTCTATTTTGTATTTTGCAAAGTGCATGAGCAACTTTTTTTCCTGCGAGACAGTTGACGGTGGCTGCTGCGCTTTCGCCCCATTGGTCGGTTCCAATTGGGTTTGTCAAAGAACATCGCAGCTCGGCGAATCAGCCTGCCACATGCCCACTTCCTATAGGCTTATTCTTTTGGAAACTTCCGCCGCCGGCTTGCCCGCGAACTACTTGTATAACCATTATCTTTTGCACTTTGCCAACAGCCTTAGTCTTGGGGTCTTGCATCGTTACGTGGTCGGGCAGCAGCTGTTAGATGTTGTGAGATGCAGTGAGCCCGTAAGTTGTGATGCTGTTTCACTTGTCCTTTTTTACAATGTATGCCCTTTGTTACTAGTAGCAATGCCCTTGCTCCTAGCAGCTTCTGGCTCCTAATAGTAAGGCCAGGAGCGCCCCTAGTAGCGATGCCCTTGCTCCTAGTTGCAAGAAAAAGAGAACTTCTCCCGTTTCGTTTCTGCACATGTTTTGTTGTTCTTTCTTTCCCTTTTTGTTTAGCGTTCTAGATCATCTTGAGATCGTTCTGTTCTTCTCTTAAAGCCTTTTTCCACCTTTCCTGCCTGCTTGCCGTCCTTCCTTCCCTTGTGGTTGCTGATGGTTGCGAAGATTATGAGATTCTGGTCCCGGAGATTTTGTTGCGAAGCATTCGCCAACGCGAGCGATGTACCCTTTTGTACCCCTTTGGTCCAAATCCGTAAGGCCTGCTGTGGGAGTTCAGTGAAAGAGGTTCATGTGGTTGCTGGAACTGAGTGTGCATCAAGATCACCGAATTTCCCGCCATGCAGACATTGTATGAGATTCAACTGGATAGTCAGGGCGAACTGGCCACCAAACGTCTGAAATCCCAATTGAAGCAGGCTCGTTGAATTGGGTTTGACGTAGGAAGGGACCACCATTTGTAGATGTGGATAGGATTCATGCCAAAAAATGAAGTCCATTTGCCTTGATTGCGCTCTGAAAAACGTGGCACTTCATTTACGGTGAGAATGCAGAAAAAATCTTCAAGCATGTTTCTCTCCTCGACAAATGACACTTGAAAGCAAGAACTGCTTAACTTCAAAGGGGTCTTTCACCCATTTGCCTTGCATGAATTGGAGTCCATCTCTTCTAGGTTGGAGGCCATCGCTCTTAGGTTGGAGGCTTGAAGTAGTTCGTTGTGGATGCTTCCTGGCTTGGGTGCCCCAATGATGAGAAAACGTATGAATGCATGTCTTGTACTATGGGGGGTGCTGCTTGCTATTGCTTGCTGGGCTGATTTGTACAAAGAGACACAACAAGATTGCATTTCTGCATTGTGTTGTATTTTTTTCTTCTAGGGTGGAGGCCATTGCTATTAGGTTCCTGTTGCTATTGGGTTTCATTTCCGCGTTCCGCTTTGAGGATCTAATTGCCATCATTGACGGCGCCAAGAAGCCAATTGATTCTGGCTCCAAGGAACCTAAAGCAACGAAAAAGCGATGTTTGTGCAAACACTATGCTACTGCTTCTACTGCTTCCACTGCTTCTGCTTCTACTCTATGGCCTCTGCTTGCTTTCTTCTTTCTGTTTCACTGTTTGCTTTCGGAGGAAGCTCAAGTCATCGTTGGACGATGTGAGATCTCATTTTACACTCGTGGCTCGGCACATGAAGAGCGTCATCTGGCCTCTAACCGAATAGCAATTTTGCTTGTTCCAGCTTGGTGTCAGGTGATTACTTTCTTCAACGGCTTGAAGCCATGGACATGACTATGTTGAACCTTGGCAGCTTCCAAAGAGCACTGGAACGCACAAAGAGCACCGGATATGAAGAGCGATGGCCTCGTTCTTGCAAAGCTGGACGTGCAAGGACGTGTTTGTCAACGCCTCGACGCTTCGTCTTGAAAGAGCTTGAAGACGAGCGAGTGTCCAATTTCAGGCTCAATTTAGATGAGCTTGAGGAGAGCAAATCGGGCTGACTCGAGAGAGGGATGCAAGGGGAACGGTTCAATCGATGAAATCTTAGCTTTAGTTTTCCCCCAAACAGTTTACTGTTAGGGGTTCTCAATGCTTTAAAGAATGGTCGCCTTGGTGCTGGATGGTCTGGTCGGGTTCCCGGCCGGCTTGTCTCCCACTTCCTTTCATTTGTATCCCAGTTCTTTTCATTTGTCTCCCAAGCTCGGTGCTTGTGGTCGGGTTCGCGGCTGGCTTGTCTCCCACTTCCCACTTCTTTTCATTTGTCTCCCAGTTCTTTTCATTTGTCTCCCAAGCTCGGTGCTTGTGGTCGGGTTCGCGGCTGGCTTGTCTCCCACTTCCTTTCATTTGTCTCCCACTTCTTTTCATTTGTCTCCCAGTTCTTTTCATTTGTCTCCCAGGCTGGGCGCTTGTGGTCGGGTTCCCGGTCTTGTCTCCCACTTCCTTTCATTTGTTTCCCACTTCTTTTCATTTGTCTCCCAGGCTGGGTGCTTGTGGTCGGGTTCCCGGTCTTGTCTCCCACTTCCTTTCATGTGTCTCCCACTTCTTTTCATTTGTCTCCCACTTCTTTTCATTTGTCTCCCAGGCTGGGTGCTTGTGGTCGGGTTCCCGGCTGCCTTGTCTCCCACTTCCTTTCATTTGTTTCCCACTTCTTTTCATTTGTCTCCCAG